GGGTCGCCGACACGCTTATACACGGCACCAAACAAGGCCTTATACAAAGTTCAATATGAGAAAAATGTAAATTATGCAAAGACGAACGCCACCGAGGAAATGTATCAAATGATGGCTTTCTTAGTTTAGTATGAGAATATGCTTATTACTACAAATTTCATATAGCGCAAAACGTTGTATACAAATAAAAGTCAGTGAAAGAGGAAAATCAAATTCCAAAAGAGCATAAAGGCACGAAAAAATGTTTTTTTGGTAATGTCTTATTTACGAACGATTGTTTTCTAGAGAGACCGCATCACCTCCCCAACTCGCGTGCCTGCCCGCACGCGTCTCTCTCTCTCTCTCTCTCTCTCTCTCTCTCTCTCTCTCTCTCTCTCTCTCTCTCTCTCTCTCTCTCTCTGACATCCGACGAGCTCCTCCTCGTTTTCCTGCTCCTCCGGGATTTGTGAGTTAGGGTTCCGGCGAGCTTTCCCTCTCATCTTCCCCAACTCGGACGGGCTTAGAAGGGAAGGTTTGGGGGGATGAAGGCAGTGGAGATGGCCAGCGAGCGGTTTAGGGACCCTGGTGGCGGGGTAGGGTCGAGCCAGGTCGGGTCCGCCAAGCTCTGGTTAAGCCCTAGCGCGCCCGCGGCTGCGGGAGGGCCGGGGGCAGCGGCAGGGGCGAGGTTCGCCAGAGATAAAGAAGACATCGGAGAGGGAAAAAGACGCCGGGTGTGAGAGATAGAGCGTGTGGGCTGGCGGGAGCGGCCGGCCATGTGTTAGATGTGTCCTCTCTTTTTTTTACTTTACTACTATTCTGTTGAACTACTTGGCAAGACAAACTTACTTGTACCACTTTCAAGTCTTCCAACTTAACGTACAAATTTAAAGATAAACATAGTCAAAAATTTAAACAATTGCCTCAAGACAGCTCAGAAAATCACTTATTTTTAATGGAGGCAGCAACTAAATTGTACTGTATAGTTCTCATCCATTTTAAGAACAAAAATACTGGGGTTAGGGCGTCTGATCGTTTGGACGTCCCTATTGCCGTGGGCCGCGACAGTACGAGATGCCTCCTCGGATTGGCTATTTGATAAAAAAACATTCGACTGTCTTCTTCACCCACGGGTCTCCTGAAACGTCATTCCCCAATCCTCACTCACCGCAAAATTCCAATTCGACGCTTCACTGTGACCGTGCTCCCGCGACGCTCTCGACCGCGAATAGCTGGCCGCCATCCTCCATCTCCACCTCACCTGAGCACCGCCGACCGCCTTCCTCCCTCTCCACCGCAGTTCCTCGACCATCGTGTAGCTGCAGTTCGTCGCGCTTGCTCGACTGCTTCCGTCCCTCTCCGACGGCACCCCGGGCCAGGAGCGGTGACTAATTGGCCTTTGCCTCTCTTCCTCTCCAATGACCTCGGTCCGCATCCTCCCTTGATGATGGCATGTAGTGATGCAGATGAGATCGGGCAGGGGGAGGGTCGCCCACCTCCACTGGCGCTGGTGGTACTGTCGCACGCCTCAAGTCGGTCCCCACCGAGCCAAGGGCACCCACGAAGCGCGACCCGTGCTGATGGTGCTCGCGCGCTACTGCTCTGCACAGGCTCCTACTCCAAGGCCGGAATCAACTGGCCCTGGCCTCTCTCCTCCCCTATGTTCCAAATGTATGTTTAAAGTGTTCCAGATGTTATCAGAGGTATGTTGCAAGTGTTTTAGAGGCATGTTGGAAGTGTTTCAGAGGTATGTTGCAAGGTTTGTTCAAAATGTTTCATCTGTTTCAGACGTATATTGTAAGCGTTTTTATCTGGATGTTGCAAATATTCACATATAAGTTGCAAGAGTATGTTCGAAATGTTTCGGTGTTATGTTGCAGTAAGTGTTTTCTTGTTGCAAGGTGCAAGTGTGTTTATCTGGATGTTGCATATGTTGCACACATACGTTGCAAGTGTATGTTTCAAATGTTTCATCTGCTTCAGACTTATGTTGCATTCAAGTGTTTCTTGTTGCAAGTGTTTCGTGTTTCAGAGGTATGTTCAGAGAGTCATGGGGCATAGCCCCGGCGCTAGGTGAAGGGGCGCGGTGAGCCGAGGGTGGCAGATGGGGCGCACGGTGCACCTAGGGTCCTACGGACGGGGTGTGCTTGTCCTCATCCAGCTCCCGGGTCCCGCCCGCACGAAGAGAGGAGGGGGTCAAGGGAAAGGAGTGGCGGGCGTAGCCGGGGTGCACATGCGGGGCGGGGCGAGGCGGACTGGAGCGGGGTACGCGGACGGGGCGGGGCGGGGTGAGGCAGACAGGAGGGAGTGGGTGCGCGTGCGGGGCAGGGCAAGGCAGACAGAGGACAGACGTGGGCGTTCAGCAGCGATACGGTGCAGCGGTGTGCGCGGGCCGACGAGCTGGGCCAGCAGCATGTATGGGGGCGTCCGGGCGCTAAAAAGATGCAGCTGTATACTGTGCGGCTGTAAAAACGCATTTTTACAAAGTTGATTATATTAACTTTTGAAAAGCTGAGTTGATTGATTATATTATTATAAACTCCATACGTTCCCCGTACGCAGTGCACCGAAGTCCGAAGTGACTACTGAGAGAACACGGCAAGTGCAGAAATCACTACAGGGCCTGCTAGTGCTAGGATTGCGATTCCACTGCGATGAGAAGATGGAGGCGGTAGCCTCCTCTCAGGCTCAGCTTTTCTCCCGTCAGCCGATTGCTGTCGTTCAGGTCTTTCACGAGATGGAATGGAAGTGGAACGATTCCACTGCTGGCTGCTGCCTGCCTAGCGTGGACGCCGAACGTGGAATGCCGCCGCAACGCAGCCGATAAAACAAACCGGTGGACGGAACCATTGGAAGCTTTTTGCAACGCCGGCACGGCACCACCCGTCGTTGTACTTTGTATAAACCGCCGCATTGGACGCCGCCCAGTCAGTGTTGGAATTGGTATCCTACCTGCACACACGTAGCCGGTTGCCTACTACTAGTAGCCTCCATGTTGAAGAAAAATAATTTGTCATGGATGAGGTCAACGAGCAAACGTCACTGGGACTGACGACAGCAGGTCAGGTCAGCATCTCCAACATCACCAGCAACTCAGCAATCTCCCGGCCCGGCCGTCTTCTCAATCTCACGGAGATGCCAAATTGCGCGCCGCACTACTCTGAGGGGGCGTTTGGTTCGTTTCCGTGCTGAACCTGGCTCGCATGAGGGAGCCCAGGCTCCGGTTGGCCAGGCCCGACGCATGCATGTGAGCGTGATTGGTTGATGGGCTCCTTCCGGCCAGGCTGAAGGGAGATGGCGATTGGTTGCTAGTCCAGCAGCTGGCGCAGTGATTTTTTTTGCCTTGGCGCCTGCACCCGCACTTGCCCGCTCGCACCATTCCAGCCAGGCTCGCCAGGAACGCAGAAAATTTCCGCACGGGGAGAGCCAGGCCCAACAACACCTTTTGCACAACCTTGGCCTGGCTGCAACCCTCGAACAGGGAACCAAACAGGCAGAGCCTGGACGCGGCGCGTGCGGGCTACCAAACGCCCCCTCAGCTCTTGGATCCGGCGATCGGCCGAGAGCAACCTCCATCACACGTCGGCAGATTTGATGGGGCCGGGCCTCTCGCCGCGTCAAGCTCCAATCAAGACGCGATGCTTTCTTCTTGCGTGCACTGCACAGGGGGTGCTAGCGAGGCCTTGGCTAGCGGCTAGCCCCGGACCCCGACCGGGGCCGCGAAAGATCGATCGAATCGTGATCGTGAGGCATGCAAGCCACGGCCGACCGAATCGGCCGGCGGCTCCCCCACAGTCCATGTACGTGAGGTCCTGAACCGTGGAAGAAGAACGACGGGCCGTGCGCCCGGCCCCTACCGCTCTGTGTTTTGCGGCTGTAGCGTGCGATGCGTGGGGCGCGCGCCGATATTTTTCTCGGCGATCAACAACCATATGATTCGCGCGCGCCGGCCGGTCACAGAAAGAAGGTTGTTGGCCATCGTCCGGTAGTGGCCGCAATCGAGATCGGGGGTACGGTGGCGCATCCGCCGCGGCACATGCGGCCATGCGGGTGGGCACCGCCTACTAGTAGAGCGCGTGTCGGTGCTGTGGCTCCGGGACGGCGACGGTGATAACTCGTGGTCTCGTGGAGCCTGCATGTGTATACTAGACGTCTCGTGTGGCTAGATTTCCGTCGTTTTCGTAATGCCATGCGTGGCAGATGACGGACCTCCGGGGCCGGGTAAGCGTGTCGGGCATGCTTTCCTTTTTTTTTTTTTTTTGGCCGAAATCTCTTGATGTTTTCGATATATCATTTTTATTCGTAGGTGCCGATAAGAAAATATCTATCTTTTTCGTACAAATTTTGTTTAAATTTATTTAAATTTATCCGATATTTTCATATATCCTGTTTATCCTCTTTATTTGTGACCCCCGATAAATTTTAATTTTCGAAAATGAAAACCTTGGTCGGGCTGATCCTCTCCCGGCCAAGGTCTAACTTCGCGCTGACGTTCGTGGCACGACGGCGACCCGTCGTCACTCGTCACGGCCGGGTTGGAGGCTCAGGTGGCATGGGTAGGCACGGCGAGTGCTCTAGACGGAGAACACGGGCGGCGCCGGCAACCAACAAGTCCTGGTCCGCAGCCGACTGGAAACCTTGGGTTCGTTCTCCAGGCTGCCAAGATTAATCACGCGGCATTTTTCGAGCTGGATGAAGGTGATCCGGCGTGTCGACGTGTCGTTCTCGCGGTCGTTTTCGCTTGTGAAATTAAGCCACAGCTCAATTACGACTCCGACAAACCATTGTGGTTCGGCTGTTCAGTCAATCTAGTGCTCCTATAATATTGCTGAGACGCATAGTGGAGCCACCGGGATGCCTATAAAAAGAGCAGCAAACCGGAGCATGCTATGTCACCAGCACAAATTCGCCATTGCACGAGCTAAACCACAACAACTAGTAGCTAGTAAAAATTGCCAGCACACAGCACAACCCAGCTTCGTCCAGCCCCAAGAGCGAGCTTAATTAGCTCACGGTAACATAACATGGCCCCAGCCATTTCCAAGCCTCTCCTCAGCGATCTCGTGGCACAGATCGGGAAAGTCCCATTGAGCCACATCAGGCCTGTCGGAGACCGCCCGGACCTCGCCAATGTCGACAACGAGTCCGGCGCCGGGATCCCGCTCATCGACCTCAAGAAGCTCAACGGGCCGGAGCGCCCTAAGGTGGTGGAGGCCATCGGCAGGACCTGCGAATCCGACGGCTTCTTCATGGTACGTACTGACCGTAACGGACCACGACGAAGTGACGAACCTTATGGAACAAACTAACAACCAGACTGACACTGGTTGCGGCGGTCGTGGAGGGGATGCTGCGCGTGGCGCGGGAGTTCTTCCACCTGCCGGAGTCGGAGCGGCTCAAGTGCTACTCTGACGACCCCAAGAAGGCGATCCGGCTGTCCACCAGCTTCAACGTGCGCACGGAGAAGGTGAGCAACTGGTGCGACTTCCTGCGCCTGCATTGCTACCCGCTCGAGAGCTTCGTCGACCAGTGGCCGTCAAACCCACCGTCCTTCAGGTGACCATACATTCTCAACCCGTCTTTCTCTCTGAATTTATGTTTTCTCGATCTGCAGTGCAGCTGACTTTACGGCTTTCTGATTTTTCTCTGCAAAAATGGTGTCTTTGGTCCGTCCGGTACCAAATCAACTTGACCTGTTAATTTGTCAAACTCAAAATTTTCTTTTCAACAAAAGGAAGGACTTGTCAAACTGAAACTTGAAATCAGTACATGCTCGACGTTGACCATTCCTGAATTGAAAGCATGAAAAAGACAAACAACTGAACTACTGTGACAGAAAGTCGACCCTGCTGTTGTTATTCCATTCACCGAAAAATACAGCTCGACGCATGCGCAACATGGCAAAATTGGCAAGTCGTACTGGTGGTTGTTTGACACTTTGACAGGCAAGTGGTGGGCACCTACGCGACGGAAGCGAGCTGAGGGCGCTGGCGCTGAGGCTGCTGGAGGCCATATCGGAGAGCCTGGGCCTGGAGCGGAGCCACATGGTGGCGGCCATAGGGAGGCACGCGCAGCACATGGCGGTGAACTACTACCCGCCGTGCCCGCAGCCGGAGCTCACCTACGGGCTGCCGGGCCACAAGGACCCCAATGCCATCACGCTGCTGCTCCAGGACGGCGTCTCCGGCCTCCAGGTGCAGCGTGGCGGGCGATGGGTGGCCGTCAACCCCGTGCCCAACGCGCTGGTCATCAACATCGGAGACCAGATGCAGGTAATATAACACACAGCACTTCAATTCACTTTGCAAGTTATTGCAACTGCTGGTTCTTGTTGCCAGTGTAAGACGATCGTAATCTGGACGTGCTGAACTAACAAATTCATTCGCCTATTGTATTGGAATTGGATGCAGGCACTAAGCAACGACCGATACAAGAGCGTGCTCCACCGCGTGATCGTCAACAGCGCGCGAGAGCGAGAGGATCTCGGTGCCGACGTTTTACTGGCCGACGCGCTGGCGGACGACGGCCACCCTCTGGCCTACCGCCCATTCACTTTCCAGGAGTACTACGACGAGTTCTGGAACATGGGCCTCCAGTCGGCCAGCTGCCTCGACCGGTTTAGAGGCCCGGAGGATCCATAGAGTGAACATCAACAACGCCGGCCACGAGCACCAGGGGAAAAAAAAAGACTATGCAAAACATTGTTTTCTGTGGCATCTCACTGTCTGAGCATCTGCCAATACACTAGTACAGAGACGGTCTTTTCTTCCGGTGGGAAACCCCCTCTAGTCCTAGTTTCCCACTCAGGAGCAAGCATCCGGAACTAAAGGAGTCCTTTAGTCCCGAGGGACCTTTAGTCCCGGTGGGTAACACCAACCGAGACTAAAGGTGCCTCCTGACATGCCACGAGGCCAGCACCCTTTAGTCCCGGTTGGTAATACCAACCGGGACTAAATTTTTTTTTCTTTTTTCTTTTTTTTTTAATTTTTTTGTTTCCTTTTTAAAATAGGTTTTCGAAGTCATATTGTACGCTGCTAATAATACATTTATACGTGCGTATAGTATGTTTCGGTTCAAGCACAATGAACATATTAAATGACACAATATATATATATATATATATATATATATATATATATATTTACATGCATGCATGCATATATGTATTTTACATTATATTATTTCATGTGCATATATTACAAAAGATTGCATTACAGTTGTTGTGATATAACAAGTTTCCTCTCATCCTCTAGCTTGACTTCCATGGCAGTGTTGGGTCGAAGTAGAACTCGCCATTGGAATCGATGACCTGGTCATTAAAAAATCCGGTTATAGACTTTTGAATTGCTTTGATTTGGTCTTGCCGTATGACCTTTTCCTCCAACCATCGAGCCTACAGGTTTGAATTAAAGGAAAATTAATTAATATATGTACATATATATATATAAAAGACATAGTAACACAATCAATAATAATAATTAAATGAATATATAGTGTATTTTTAACGTACTTTGAGTCTCTCTGTAGGAGTTCTTTGGGAGACCTCCTTGATAAACTTGCAAACATAGTAACCACAGTAGTTGTTTCCCTGTTCCTGCCTCAGACACCACTTTACGAGAAAAAGATTTGTCATCCAATCTGGTGATCCGGTGAAAGCTATATGTTTAATTAATAAAGATGATGTGATTTAGGGGACTTACTTTCAAAGGGATTACATTCAGTGGCGCTTTGCATTTTCTCTTGTGTTGCTTCTCAATAAAGGTTTTCCAAACACTGCCCAATAAAAAATTTGCTATGTCATCAGATATAGTTAATCATCATGTTTGTGTGTATATATAGTTGCTAGAGATACCGAAATTACCTCTGGATAATATCTATCATATCTTGGTAGTCTTGTTGTGGTTTTCTCATCGAGTCATAGATTATCAAGTGACTTTTCACCAGATCGATGCCCATCAATATCCAGTGATTGTTGTATGTGTTTATAGGATATAACGCATAACACTCATTAATTAACTAGAATCAACATATGAGCCATTAAGGATGATCGACATTATTAACACTCGCTTGAAGTTGTATGGAAAGAGTATATCCTTCTTGTGGCGTTGGTTCACTAAGAAGTTCATGAGGTTACTCTCTGACTCAGACTTCCAATTAGGCTTTGGAGTAACTGGGTCTTTGAATACTATATGGGGATCAACAAAACCAATTTCATTGCAGCCTTCCTTTCTACGCTCTGTCATTGTAAATCTGCATATATATATAGTACTTGTTAGGATAATTTATATGCATATACACACATATGATGAGTTTAATAATAGATCGAAAGAATTATTACTTACAGGCAATAGCAGCTATTGATAACTTTGTCCAGAGAGGTCAGGTGGCATAGTTGATGAAATTATGCAAAGTCAACATACATAACATCATCGCCACGGAACCAATGTTCGTCTCTAATTCTGACACCAATGCAGAAGTATCCACTGGTAGACGCCTGCATGTACCACTTGTTTAGCAGGTATATTTGCGTTTCCAGGTCACCTAAGGCTTAAGGGTTGTATAGACTCTGGCATAGTACAAATTTTTTCTTCCAAATATCAACCTCCGCCGCACTCTCAATGTTTCCATCACCAAACATCTGGTAAAGGTCGAGACCAGTCTCTTCAATAAACTCACCAAGGTGATCCAAATCGACATCCGGAGGTATGTTTGCCTGATGCATTAATCCTAAATTCAAACCATATTCATTACTAACAACTAGCGGGGGGACTGATTGGTGTGATTGTTGTCCGAGTTGTGCAACTCCTTTCTCTGTCCGCTTCTTTTTCTGTGCCGCCTCAATTGACTTGGTGAGAGTGTGGTCATAGTCCATTAACGTTGCTTTGGACGGCTTACGAGATTCTCGTTGTTGTTGCTGGTAAGAAGCCACCTTTTTTCTTAGAATATCTGGAGCTACGAAGAAGTACAGTTTCTCTAGGTTTCTCCTTGCTTCTTGATCCTTTTTAAGTTTGTCATAGAATCTGGACATATCTTTTTTATATGCATCAGTTACTTCTTCCTTCTCTTCAGATATTATTTTGGGAATAACCCTTGGTTTCACGGTGGCTTTCTTTGCCGGCGGGGACTGGTTCTTCGTTTGCGGGGCTGGCCTCTTGCTAGTACTTGGCTTCTTGGTAGGCGGGGGCGGGGGAGGCGTTGGAGACCTCCTTGGAGGTGGTGGCAGCGGCGTTGGAGACCTCCTTGGAGGTGGTGTGGATGCAGCCTCGCCTTCCAACACATTATCATCGTACAGAGCACTATGATGATCTGGCGATTGAACAATTGGACTTAGGTTGGGGGAGGATCTGCTACAAAAAAAAGGAATGACATATTATTATGAGTAGATTATTAATTATTTAAGCCAATATAAATTAATGATGTAGTGTTTTCATCCGCACCTATGGTGAGGTAGTTCAGGAGGAGATGGAGGCGACATCCCGGGAATGATGATGTAGCGCTTGCGCCATAGAATGAATGTCTTCTCTGTTTCTCCTAGAGTCTTTTCGTCATTACCTCCAGGAATGTCAAGAGGCAAATCACTAAAACCTTTTTCAGCTTTATCTACCGAGATGGTAGCATATCCTTCTTGGATTATATTCCCATGAATCCTTGGTGTCTTGGTTCGGTCGATAGGATTAACAAGACCGATAGCCACCTTGATTGTGGAGTTCCCCTTCGGAATGTGTAGCTCACATGATGTACAAGGTTCAGTGACGTCATCTACAGGGAAGCGCAGTCCTATGTCCCCTTGATTTGGTATCTCCGTGGAAGCGTAGCTACTTTTCAACTGAGCAGTGGGGCTAATATTGATTCCTGGCTCTGATGCCTGCTTGCTTGCACTCACTGCTATTTGCACTTGCCTTCTGATTTCCTCCTACATTCTCGCTTCAAGGTTTTTTTCCTGCTCCTGTGTTTCACGCACCGCTTCCTCCAATCTCTGGAGCCGCTGTGCCTCTTCTTCCTTCTTTCTCTGGCGACTTCTGTAGGAAGGTCTGTCCTGAGGGAATCCATGCTCCCACGAAACACTTCCTTTGCCTCTAGTTCGGCCACCGTGTTCAATAGTCCCGATGGCGTATGTCAGTTCATCCTTCTCTCTGTTGGGCCTAAACGCACCACTAGTAGTAGCTCTTTGAGCATAAAATAATCTTTCTGCTGCTTCTTGCAGTCTTGCGCCATAAACGCACTTCCCTATCTCCTGGTCTAGTGTTCCTCCATGAGTGAAAAACCAATTCTTTACACGCTCTCCCCACTCGAGTGATTCTAGTGTGATACCCTTAGCAAGAAGGTCTGCTTCCATTTTGTTCCACTTCTTAATGGCAGTCGGGTAGCCACCTGATCCCAAGTTATGGTGGTATGCCTTATGTTGGGCATTACGTTGGTTCTTTATCACCCGACTCACACCCTCTTTCGACATCTTGTACTGTACAAACTCATCCCAATAGGGTCTCTGCTTTGAGATCAGGCTTGAGACAGTGAAATCTGGTGCTATGTTCTTCTTGACATACATCGTGTATAGGTGTTTCTTCCAAGTCTGAAACTGGGTGGCCATCTTCTTCATTGCCCAATCCCTAACTCGTCCTTCAATTCATCACCATCTATTATATCATCATAACCATCTGTTTGAAGCGTGAAATGTACCAAGACATCATTCCAAATTAATGTCTTGTCACGATCGGAGACAAAACTGATATGAGGAGCATTGGTCTTCTTCTTCCATTCGTGGGTACTGATCGGGAGCCGGTCCCTTACAAGGTAACCACAGTGGTGCTCGAATTTCGTTTTATTTGCCCCCCCCCCGGTTCGCCTGTATCCACATTGAACTCCGAGATGATGAAGCGGCCCTCCAATGGCTTTTTGGGATCTCGAACATTTTTACTCTTCGTTGTAGTTGTTGATGTCGATCCAGAGGGCTACAAAACATAAACATTATTTTTAATGTCATGAGCACACATAAGACATATGATAATATATATAGCTAATAATAAAAAATATATACTTGGCCAATATCTTGTTGCTCATTTTGTTCAAAAGCTAAGTACTGACTCCCGTCATCTGCATCCTCTTGCACGTTATTTTTAACACCATCATCGCCGGCAACTTGAGTGCCAGTGTTGATCAAATTCATCATCAACTCCTCCTCATCCATGTTTCTTGGGTCGGCCATCTAGCTTCAAAAATCAAAACCAATATATAGTACGTCAAATCTTTGCTTACATGCGTAAAATCTACGAACAATATGCATTATTAAATCTTGCCCCTCGGTCACGGACGCAATTCGCCACACTAGGGCGAACTGCGTTGGTACTAGGGCGAATTATGGCTATACATAAACGGCCGAGGGCGAATTACGTCGGTGACTAGGGCGAACCACGTCGGTGACATCAACAACGCGGTTCGCCCTAGTCACCGACGCAATTCGCCCTAGTGTGATTGTTTAGCGTTAATGATAACGATAATACGAATGTTGACCGACTAGGCCGCAAGAGAGGGCAGTGTGACGAGTGTGGCGGTGCTCCGCTCCACCGTATATATGTTTGTACACATGGGTGAACGAGGGTGGCGATGCTCCGCCGTATAAACCCTAAACCCTAGGGCGAACGAG